ACGGCACATAACAACAACATACTGAGAAAGGTGATTTTGTTTGGAAATAGAGTCTCTGAAGATGGTATCAATTAACATAAAGCATACTATAGTAGGAGGGTCCTAATCCAATGAGTGGTGTCCTTATAAAGAGAAGAGGTATACAGACACAGAGAAGAATGCTATGTTATGACAAGTTGCAGCTGTAAGTCACAGAATGTCTGGTGCTACCAAAAGTTGGGAGACAAGAAAGAATACTCCCCTAGAACCTTCAGAGATAGAATGGCCCTGCTGACACCCTAACAGGATTTCTTCCCTCAAAACTGTGAGACAATAAATTTCTTTCCTGTAAGGACTGCTAATCACAATGTTGGTAATTCGAACCCACCCATTGCTCCTCAGAAACCCTGTACAAGGTTGCTATGAGTCGGAACAGACAACACTCAATAACAATAACAAGTCGCCTACGAGGAGAAAGATAGCATGATAATCCTAAAATGTATCATATATTTTACTTATCTATTATTTTTATTATCTTCCTCCCTATGGAAGCTCCATGTGGGCATAAATTTTTGGAAGTTTTATTCGCTATTGTATTCCCAGCATGAAAAATTGTGCGTGATTAGTTCCTGGTTAGTAGCTATAAGGTCACTAGTTGGAACTGTTTGCAGTAGACTGCTAACCTACAGGTTGACAGCTTGAACCTACTTGGTGGCACTGTGGAAGGTCTTGCAAAGTGCCTTACTGAGACTGTTGCTATTGTTGCTCCAACGCATAGTGACTCTGTATAGGGTTTCCGAGGAGCAGCTGATGGGTTTGAACCAATGACCTTGCACTTAGCAATCTAGTGCATAGTCTACAGTACCACATCAGGACTCCTTATTGAGACTGTTGTTAAGTGCTGTAGAGTTGGTTGTGACTCATAGACACCTCGTGTAGGATTTCCTGGAGCAGCTGGTGAACTTGAAGCGCCGAGCTTGCTGTTGAAACCGACCTTGTGGTTCAAACTGACCTTGCATTTCAAACCAACCTAGCAGTCTAGCGCACTAACAGGCAGTGCCACAAGAAAACCTATGGTGCCATTCTACTCTGTTAATGCACAGGGTCACCATGAGTAAGGAACTGACTTAACGTCAATGGTTTTTCTGTTTTTCACAAAATTAAGTACTATGAAGAAAACAAACAGAAAAAAGGATCTGCTGTGTGTTGTTGTTAAGGGCCTTCAAGTCCATTCCAGCTCATAGCAGCGACCCTGTATATGGCTTCTCAGGAGCAACTGGTGAGCTTGAAGCACTGACTTTACGGGTCACACCAATCTTGCCGTCCAGTGCATTAACCCCCAGCACCACACCATGAAGAAAACAAACAGAAAAAGGAACAGGATCTGCTGAGTAGGGGAGTTTAATTTAGGGAGGACATGGAAAGTCATTTGAACAGAGATGTAAAGGAAGTGAAGGAGCAAGCCATGGGATCCTAGAATAGCATTTCAAGTGGAGGTGAGTAACAACTGCAAAACTCCTGAGATCAAAGAGTGTCAGGCATGTCTGAGGACCCACAAGGAGGCAGATACTGCTGCAGCAGGGTCATGGCAGGGAACTGGAGATAAGGTGTCAGGGAGGTGGCTGGGCAGCTCATTAGTCCTTTAGGACATGATAAGGATTTAGGCTTTCACTCTCAGCGAGATAAACACCCCTTGGGGGTTCTGAGCAGAAGAATGCTATTACTGAACAGTGCTCCGGCATAGTGGTTTCGAATCCAACCATGAACCTCAAGGTCACAGTTGGAAACTACCAGCTGTTCCGCGGGAGAAAGATGAGGGTTTCTGCTCCTGTAAAGATTTACAGCCTCGGAAACCCTGTACAGGGTCGCTATGAGTTGGAACAGACTCCACCACCACCACCATCATCACCCTGGTTGTTGAGAATAGACTTTACAGAGGGGCAGAAAAGAAAAATCAGTTAGGAAACTATTTTTGCCTCCGGAGAAATGATGGATTTAGGTTAAGGGTAATGGCAATAGAAGTGGTAAATTGGATTCTGAATTTAGTCGTAGGGTAGACCAGACAGGAATTGCCCATGCTTTGGGTGTGGTTTGTGAGAGACTGGTATAAGCCAAGTCTTTGACATTTATTCTAAGGGACCTCACGGTCGCGGAGGGAGTACTAAGTTGCTCTTCACGTCTGCATCGGAACATCCCATATTTTATTGTTGCTTGTTTTCCCAACACCTGGTGCAATAATAGAGTAGCCATTTATTGGCCCCCCGAGTCTGTTCAACCAAGCACCATGCCCACGGTTTCCCAGACATTTTGATTAACTCCAATGTTTAGAGAAGAAGCTGAGTCCCCAAGTAGGTAACTATTTTACCCAGATCACATGGCTAAGAAGTGGCAGAACAAAGGTTTCCACTCAGGTCTCCTAGACTCTAAACACCTCTTTGCATCACAAAGGACTTTACCCCATTAAATGCCGTTAAGCGCACACGCCAACAAAACACAGCCCCTGCGAGCGCAAGGCCCCTAAACACAAGGAAGTTAACGCCACGCCTCCCGCTTCCCCGGCCTCACTAAAGCCAGCTCCCTGAGACACCTGTATAGGGAGTAATGAGGTCTCGGTCCCGCCTCTAGGGCCTGTAGCCCATGGGACCAACGCCCGCCATCAGAGAGGCCCTCCTCGATTTACCTGTTGCGGCGCCGACGCAGCTCCCACGCTCGTGCCGGTTGCGGCGCCCGCCCCCGCCACAGCCCCAGCCACCGCGGTGGCAGCCGCCGCCACCACGACCGTCGTCAGGGCGGCCATCTTTCCGGGTCGCTCTAGCCACCTCGGCGCTGTCGCCCCTGCAAACGACGGGATCGTTGGAAAAGCAGGAGGGCGGGGCGGGATGCGGAGTGGGGTGTGGCGGGGCGGGGCGGAAACGTAGAGTTGGGCAGGGATGCGGGATGGGGCGGGGCGCGGAAAACCGAGATGTGGAGTGGGCCCCAGCAGAATAACAGCGTGGGATCGATAGGCGGAACTAGGATAGGTTGTGGGGCGTGGCTGAGAAGGGGCTGGTGGGACGTTGGTGTGCTGTAGTTGTTCCGCGGGATCCTCCCTTCTCTCTTG